TCGCCGGTCGCTGAAAGTGTTCGACGTGTGAAAGTCACTGTGCTAAATGGCACCCGTATTGACGGGCTACGACCCACTCATAAAGACCTGACAGTACCTAGAGCTCGTTCAAAACCGGCTACTGTGGCAGCGCCAGCGCGGCTTTTTTGGATAATCAACGTAGATTGATGTAGACGGCCCTGGCACTTTCCCCTACGCAGCTGCAGCTATGTACTGTGGATTATGGAGAAAGGGCAGTTCGCGTCCGTTTCGAACCAGCCCACCCATGGCTGACGACCTTGCCATGTGGCAGCCATGATGGACCATGAGAGATGATAATAGTCGAGAGGATGTGATCATTTTCAGCGTTGACGTCCCCGACGTAGCCGATTCTGCCGGCCCCAACTTTGGCCAAGGCAATTGCCGTCTCACTAGGAATCCCATCTGCGGTGTAAAGAGCCGCCTCAGGCTGAACGCCTCGCAAGAACTGGGACTTCTGGCTGTATCGCTCAGGGAGGGCGGCCAGGCTTAAGTCTGCCGCATTGTGTCCGATGTGAAGGGCTACATTCAAGCGTTGATAGATCCCCCGAGTCCAGGGTAAGTCGGCTTTCTCGAAAAACGCAGCGATGTCGTTAGGCCGAACGAAGCTACTAAAGTGGCCCATCGCAATGACAGTGCCTCCTTGGCGGACGTAGTCTATAATATTGGCCCAAGTTTTCGGAAACCGTCGTAGAGTTGGAATGTCGTCTGATGGGAGTATATCATCTTCGTCCGGTATTTGAGCGATAGACAGGGCAGCATCTGTCAAGAGAACAGCCGTCGTCCGTTTACCAGCCACGGGAGGGAGTTCTCGGAGCACTTCGTCTGGGGTATAGGTGGTGACGACATCAGCTTTGTCGTGAAGCGTCTTGAGAAGATCGTGGTGGGTAGTTCCAAAATCACCTTGCTCGCGCAGTGAGGCAAGGACAATGCGGGGTTTGTTGGAGGTAGACATTGGATTGGAACCCTGCGGTTGTCCGAGGGCAGGGCTGTAGTCGAATTTGAGGTGAACTAGAATTGAAAAAGCCTCGTTGGCCGGTAGATCGTGAAACTCTCATAAGAAGCTAGGCGTGATTTTGGTGTGTTGTCGTGACTACTGCCAATGCCCGGGCATGGTAAATATGTCGCCAAGGTTCCTAAATTACTCTGCGGCACTGTGACCTCGCCGATTGGTGCCCGCTCAACCCTGCGGATGGGGCATCATGACACCCGCCCGCTATTGGGACTGAGGCGGGGCGTAGGTGAGTACGATCCAGGGCCCGCTCTCTCCTACCAAGTATCCGCTCGCCAATAATGACTTGCAGTGAATCGTCTCCGTGATGAGAACATCCTGCAGTGCGGGGCACGCATCGACGGATTGGGGAACGATGCCCATGAGTGGAAGCCTGAGCGCTAGATGTCTGGCATGGCAAGAGAGCTGAAGAGCTGTTGGGGGTAAGTTGTCGCACGATCTGTGGACGTCACGGCGGGTGCTAAAATGACCATCTTTGATTGTTCAAATAATAATAGGTCTAGTTACCCGGTTTATCCCCAGCCAGCTTTCGACATGGCACCTCGCAGTCACGTTCGCGACTCGGTCAAGCAAATCGACACGACCACATGGCTCATCGGATCATATGCAAAAACCGTGCGAGAATAACTACCTGTGGAAGAATAGTAGCGACGGCTCGTGCTATACTCTTGCTGCCGCGCCCATCCCCTTGCCTGATGCTGCCCCTCCGCCTCTTGACAGCCATGTCCGCCAGATCCACGACGCAGGCGACCCGTCCGCGGTGTTCAGCTTCGGCGACGCGCTCATCCTCAAGGTCAGACTCGCCGACGACAGCACCCGGCGAGAACACAAACTACTAAGCTTTCTGGCCGAAAAGCAACTCAGCTTCGACGTTCCCAGAGTCCTTTCCCACGCTGAGGAGGCCGGCAAGACATACTTGTTCGAACCCCACATACCCGGCAACAGACTCAATGAGGTGTGGTGGGATATGACCGAGGAGGAGAAAGAGCACGTGGCAATTCGCGTCTCCGAGATTTGCTCGGAACTGAGGTTCTTTCGGTCCGATGTTCTGACTGGAGTCGACCACAACTGGCTGGACCCACTCCAAGACCAGCGCGACTACGGAGTACAAGCCCTCCAGAAACATTGCGAAGCGCTGGGAATGGTTGGTTCGACATTTGTCTTATCTCACAACGACCTTGGGCCTACCAATATCATCATGAATGGGGACCGAATTGCTGTCCTCGACTGGGAGCTGGCCAGATATAGTCCCTTGGCATGGGTGCGAACTAAGTTCGCTATCTGCGGAGCACTGCAGGTAGAGCGCATCGGAAGCGCTGGCGTAGAGACCGATAGCAAGTACAGAGTGCAGGTTGAGCAGAAACTTAGAGAGATGGGATTCCCCCAAGTCACTGAGGCATACGAGGAGATGAAGAAGGTACGCTACAAAGAGTGGAAGAGACACCGGCCGTGGCTTCAATAACCGACGCCAATATCTTGCTGTGTTTGTGAATGGCGACGGAGAAATTCAATATGGTATGGACAGATACGGTCAGGACTCTGGAAAAAGACGCCTAAATATATATTATATGGAAAAGCCGCCGTCGTTGGGAACCGTACTTGCGTTAGTGATATGAGCAATATGTGTTGCAATAGGTGGGATATGCCCTCTGACCACAAAGCCGTTCGCCAACAGAAGCTGATAACCGCTCTGCAAATGGCTGTTCTTTTTAAAAATTCCGTTCTCGCTGATGATGTTTTATCTGAAACTGTACAGAAGTGGACTTATTCCTACTTAATACCGCGATATTTCGCGCAACCATGCTCGGTTACTATTGTGACATTAGAATGTACGCGCTGGGATTTCGGGAAGTCGTGTCGTATGCTGGGTGCCCACTCAAGGACATGTGGAGTCGTCAATTGAGTGGGAAGGCACAGATACCGATGGCCTTCGTGATCAATCCCTTCTTGACGTGTCCTTGTGCAGTCTGCTGCCTGCGAGGTGTCCAACCGACCCGAGATCAGTTTGGAGCATTGGTGGTTCAGCTTCAGGTGCGGAGGCTGACTTTTTTGCAGCTCAGGTCCGGCACTCTTCCGGACCGTATGCCGCGGGTTATCTTCGGTCGCTTCGACTGTTCGCCGGACCCCGATACGAAAACGGACGATGCATCTCGTATGTGCCGCCGCCCCGACAGTTGATCGATCCTCTTCTTCCAACAACGGCCAAGTCGCTTCTCACCGTGCCCCCACCTTCCACAAATGGGTTAGCGGCCGCCCTTGCCGTCTGCGACCAGGTGGCCCGCTGTCACGCATCCCTACAAACACGTGAGCCGTCGCGTCTGCTTTGTTTTCTGTTTACCTCTCCCTCGCTCTCCCAATGGACCTGTACATCAGCCATGCTCTCTACACGACATCAAAATGCCTCTTACAGAGAAGCACGTTAAGATCATTTCAGAACGCCCACTCAATGATACTCTTGATCCTTTCCGAGACAAATTGCGCGACCTCAACGAGGCCGACGACCCGCGACAAGAAGATATTGCGAGTCTTCTCTCCGCTTTAGTCGCCTCGCCAGCTGCGTTCAGCCTTCCTTCGCCAGACGAAAGCGGTAGCGTTGCAGTCAAGCTGCTATCTATCCTACAATATGTTCGAGGAGGCGAAATAAAGACTCAGCAATTCCACCCTCTCGTCCGCCATATCGTGGACGATTCCTCCGACATCGACGTCTGGGAAGCTGTCTTCACCGTCATCGAATCCCTTAGCGCCCTCACTCCTCCCCCGTCCAGCATCGCCCCGACTTTCAAAGGAACACCAATCAAGACCAGCTCGAGCCGACTGGCCGACAGCGAAACGCGCGACATCGTCGAAGGGGAGCTGTTCTATGAGATAAAAGAGTGCACCTTTCGCGATGTGAAGGGATTCTGCGACAAGTTCTTCGACTCCAAGCGCTGGCGCAAAGAACAGAAAGCGATGCTGAAGGAGATGATGACAGCACACGACGGGAAGAAATGGACAGATTTCCCGACCCCTTCGGACGAAAAGCCGGTCTGGGACTGGTTCCGTTCACTAGAGGAGCGTTTCTTAGCCGATTCAACGTACAAGCTACATACCACCAAAACCGCCCACCAGTTCAAGGAACGGAAAGGCCAGATGGATGTCTTCTTCCAGACGCCAGCCAAGAAAAAGGACGGCACTTTGCGGTACAAGCATGTCCTTGTCGTTGGAGAGCAAAAGAAGTCATACGATACGGGCAGATTCAAGGCGGACCTTCTTCAGATTACGCGCTATATGCGAGGCGTCTTCGCCGACCAGCCGACGCGCCGATTTATCCACGCGTTCTCCCTCTACGCGTCCACGATAGAGCTCTAGGTCTTCGATCGCTCTAGGCCGTATAGCTCGGGGCTATTTAATATTCATAACGAGCCGGATAAGTTTACGCGCGCTTTTATTAGGTATGCCACAATAGACGACGATACGATAGGCTTAGATATATTTATCGAACGAAAGGATAGGTATCGCTATATTATACTAGACGACCTAAGTAATAACGAATCGAGGATCAGGCTGAGGGGCCCTATAGTCAGGCAGAAGGCCGTCGTTTATCGAGGGACTACGTGCTTTAAGACCCGAAATAGCCACGTTACGAAATTCTCGTGGGTATCGGATAAGCGGAAGCTAGAGGTAGAATAGCTAAAGCTAGTAGAAGAACGGGACGTTAAGGGAGTGGCTAAAGTAGTAGCGTATCGTTAAATCACTACTATTATAGAGTTACGCAAGGGCTTGAAATTTCCGGAACGTTATCGGTTCCGGAACGAAGATATTTACTTTAATAAAATCCCCTTAGCTACTATAAGCACGAACTCGTTAGGCTAAAAGCGTAAGTCCCCGTCCGACTATATATCTAAGGACGCGTCCGGATCTAAGAGGCGGCGGTCTAATAGTTAGAAGTCGAAGCTAGTCCGAGAACTAAATAGCTAGCTATCTATAGGCAGAACCAAGCCGAGCTTATATACGCCTAGAGACGACCCGTGGGATAATAGGATATATTCCTACCTCGTGGTATCGCCGGCCGGTCGTGTTATTAACGACTTTAGAACTATCAAGGAACTGCTAGAGTCGATATAAGATACGATCAAGGCTCACCAGTCTCTATACGTCACTAGTAACATTCTTCACCGCGATATTTTATCGAATAATATTATTATTACGAAGCCCGAGATAGCTACTAGCTTCAAGGGCATGCTTATCGACCTTAACTTAGCGAAAGTGAGAGACAGCGGTCCGAGCGGAGCGCGGCACCAGACGGGCATAATGTAGTTTATGGCAGTGGAGGTGCTACGCATGGTCGACCACACCTACCGCCATGACCTAGAGTCGTTCTTCTACGTTTTAATATGGCTATACGCGCGCTAGTTATAGAGTAATAGATTTACTAGTAACGAGAAGCCGCCTAAGGAGAGCCTTCTTCGACGATAGGAAATCGGCAGCTTTAAGTATATTATAGCTACTAAAGAAGGTAATATAACTATAAATAAGCTAGAAAGTATTATAGGCGAATTCCTAGAGGCGTTAGATACTATTAAGCCGCTCTATCTAAGGATTAGGAAGATCCTCTTCCCCTTAGACGAAGATAAAAGGATAAGCTTTAGAACCCCTGCAGGAAACCTAGATCAACTCTATACACCCATTCTAGCAGTATATAATACTACTATTAGCGATCTATAGAAAAGAGTTAACTTTTCGATGGCGAAAATTCACCCTCGTTACAGCAAGTCCAGCACCACTACGTCATCTCCCAGAGCGCTGTTACAAGATTAATGAGAATGTGTGTTTGGGCCATGCCAACTTGTTGGCCGGCATTACTGACTACAAGCAGGGATCTATCGAATTGTTGGTCCAATGGGAGGACTCGAACGGAACGTCTCTCAGGACTTGGGAGGTTGAAGATAGGCTGGAGTAAGCTTGCATTACAGGCTTGCGCAAGGGTACTGAACTGACGTGCTAGGGACTCGGCTGCGTTGGAAGAGTATTTCGTCCGTCTGGGCGGACGCGACAGGTTGTCCAAAAAACATGCAGACAAAGTCCGGCGAGGACTGCGATACTCCAGTCGGCTGGAGGATCGCACTCTTGATACCAATTGGCGAGATGGTGCTTTGCGGCGAGGATAATCAGCATGCCTGGGCCAAGATCTACAGAGGGCTTCTCGAGCACATCTGTCCGGTATTGGCTCTTTGTCAGCTCACAAACGGCGAATAGAAGCGACCGCAGATCCACATGGTAGATTTCGGGTGGGCAGCAAGTGTCAGTATCACCACTCATGCCCTGCCTTAACTTTCACTGGGACAGGCAGGATTTCACTGCTCCCAGTTTGGCGGTTCGAGTCTGACCTAGAGCCGCCCTTGCCACCGTTATTGCAGTCTTTGAAATTGTCATATCAGCCCAATAGGAAAGTGCAGATTTGCTTTTGTGGTCAGACTCGTGTCGGCGTTTGGAGGAGGGCAGGTGACGTGGCAGCCAGCTGGGAGGGTGGTGCTTGGTTTGACAAGGCGCCCTCGCTGTCGGACCAAGTGAAGCTCCAGTGCTCATCATCACAGATCTCAATCTGATTCAGATCAATGCCCGGGCCGTAGATTTCGTTCGGGTTGAATTCTCGACGCTTGTTCCATCGTCGGGATAGGGTGGCATGACGGACTGTCGAAACGTGTTTGTTGATACCCATGGTTGGCTGTACTGAGTGAGGGGAAGCCAGAAGCGGAGGATTGAGTTATAAGGGACGCGTCTGACGAGACCGTACATGAGTCACTGCGCCACCTCCAATCAGCCGCGACCTCTTGGGAACGATTTGAAGCACTGTGAATGGATCTGGATAGCCGAGTAGCCCTCATCTACTCCTCTATCTATTCCAGGAATAGAAGGTTTCAGGTATGACCACATCTATGGATTGACAGCCAAACTGTAGCAATTTTTAGAAGAAATAATTGTTACACTTTGGACAATGGCTCACACTGTCTCCCAATTCTTGCTACTCGTGATGAGGATAAAAAGAATTGAAGCTAATTGGGAAAGTATATGGCGTTAGGGTTTAATCACGCTTGTGGGTTACGGATTTGGGAAGACGCTCAGTTCTGACGTGTGCTGGTTTGAGGCCACACGTCGAAGCAGTACCTAAGCAACGCGGTAAGGGAAGCAGATATCACAAAAGAGGACGGAAGGGGAGGATGAGGGAGCAAGGACTCTAGGAAGAGAGAAAGCAGAATGGGTCGGTTGAGTATCCTATTATTACAGGCTAGCCGTGAAGCGTCGCTAAGTCACAATAATAAAGAGCAGCAACCCGAGGATCATCTTTGAGTTGGATCCCAGGATCTTCCATGGTAGCGACAGTGCGTCTAGATTGTGGTCCCAGACCTGAGTCCAACTTTGTCCAATCAGATAGATTAATTTAGATACTGAATATTCCAGCGCCTCTCCACATCCATCAAACCGCTATTCAATTCTTGATCAATGGGCTGATCACCCTCTTGCATCTCCTTGTCCTCGGTCTTCTCCTCTTCCTTTGAGGTCTCTTGGTTACGGAGAAGTTCAATACACCGAAGACCTTGAAATATAGCGAGACACTCCGGATATGGCCCCGGAAAATCCCATTCTTGCTCTTCCACCAATACTCTCTTAATTCTGTCGAGATCCTGTCCATAATGCTGTCTCAGGCCCTTCTGATAGTCTGAATTGTCTGTGACATCCGTACTGAGCCAAAGTATATCCCAACCTGGGCGAAAGTAGAATACGCGGTCCGGCAGATGCGCGTGTTGTAGAAGAGCGAACTTTTGCAGAGTAACCGTGCGGGATTCTTGACAGACCTGCAGTGCGACTGGACCTTGGCATTTCTCGAGAGGCGAGTCTTCAAGGATGCGGCTGCCAAAGTTGTGTTGCAACCATGCAGAAAGTCTGGAAGTTTTGCGCAGAGCTACAAGCTCTGTGATTTCGGGATCATAGTCGTCTGGAGCTTCGACGTAGGCAGCTTCAAGGACATAAGCTTCTGGCCAGGTCATCTCCCAGATTTGACATCGCAGCTCCGCCGGCAAGCGGGGAAACAGCCCAAAGCCAGCTATGACTGTCGTGTCTGCATTAATATTTGGATTGTTCCCTTCAGAAAGCGTGGGATTAGCCTACCGTGATCCAGCATCATGCAAATATGGCAGCATGTGTGAGAATCTCGAAGTAGTGGATTTCAAGCCATCGGCTCCTTTTGTATTCCTGTTGCCTGGTGGTGTTGGTTCCTGGAGGCTAATGGCTGCAGCCGCGCGCCTATGCGTGATCAGTGGTTGGTTGAGTATAAAATTCTGGGGTTCAGGGGGCTTGCATACACAAGCGTTCGGTGAGCTGCTCTAAATCTAGTTAGCAACTAATCCATCCAGGCCAACATCAGCTTTTCAGAATCAGATATCAAGTACCTGACGGTGAAGATATCGAAGGCACCCAGTGGGCTAGGAATGCTGTCGTGCACGCCGCTGCAGTTGCGGCAGCGTACCGCTGCCAAGCCTTCGTCTTGTGGCTGTCTGCGTAATCGCACGCACCCTTGATCACCACGCACGGGAAGCTATCCAACACTCCAGCGCCCTCCATCTCGAAGGCCACAATGCCCTCGCGTCGTGCAATATCATCACGCCGCCCGCTGGACTTCATCACTGTATCTCCTGAGGCGATAAGGCCGAAGTGGACCGCAACTTGCGGATCTTCATGGTCAAGGCGACGTCGCGGGACCTGCTCGCAAGCGATTCCGTCGCTAATGTGACGATACGTCGCACTGAATAGCTGGTCGCGTTGGACACCTGGGTATTCCGCTGCCAGGCCCTTAAGCACGCCAATATAGTCGACGATCTTGGCCTGTAGAGTCCTTCGACCGCGGATGCCCTCCAGCTTTCCCAAGAGTGCACGAATCTCGGTATTAGGTCGCCCCAGTGAGTCTAGAAGCTTATGAGCTCGGCCCAGGCGGATGATCGGTGCGAATCTACGACGTGGTCACATAGCCAAGTGGCAAAAACGCTCAATGCTACAGAGACCACCCGTGTGGATACATGGATTCCATTTCCGCCATAAGCTTGTATCAAAGAGATTGCTCCGTGACGGTCATGACTTCCAACTTCCCATTGGCATGCCCGCGCACCTCCATGGCCCTGGCGCTTCTGTATTGTGCGTTATATTAAAAGGGGCTAGTTATATCGCGATCTTCTTTAAATTAGTCGTTAGTGTGTCGTAGGCCCCACTTTGATACATAGAGGATTATTTAGTTGGCTGCTGCTGCTACTGCTGACGCGTTCGCTTAACCGTTTGCCCGACGTCTATTCTCTTATATGTAAATCTCGATATACGCATGTTTAGGAGGGATGCGGAGTACGACCCATATAATTCTTCCCAGTTCCCGCTAGCAATACAATCCACGCGGAATAATGCGCTTCATAAACTGCCACTCATATGACCTCGAGACTTTCGAGCTTTCGGAAGCCCCTCCCTTCGCCATTCTATCTCACACATGGGGTGGCGGGGAAGTCACCTTTGATAACCTTCGACAGCCTGGTAACAGGGCAGGGCCGGGCTGGGAAAAGATTGAGCGCACGTGCAGGCAGGCGCTTAAAGATGGGTGGGGGTATGCCTGGGTTGACACTTGCTGCATCGACAAATCTAGCTCGGCTGAGCTCTCAGAGTCCATCAACTCTATGTTTAAGTGGTACCTCCATGCAGAAGTGTGCTATGTATTCTTGGCAGACTACACACATTCAGGAGACGAAGACACACAAGAGGGAGGCATCTCTGGGTCGCGATGGTTCACCCGAGGATGGACCCTCCAGGAGCTCATCGCGCCGTCGAGAATGGAATTTTACGACAAGGATTGGCAACACATCGGCTCCAAAGGGAGTCTCGGTTCCTGCTTGTCTAAAGCAACGGGCATCGACGAGGAGATTCTGAGAGTCAGCAGCCAGGATAGCGTCAGAGCCCGGCTGGACGCCTGCACCATAGCGCAGAGGATGTCGTGGGCGGCGTCCCGGACCACGAAGCGGGAGGAGGACATGGCCTACTGCCTGCTCGGCATATTCGGCATCAACATGCCAATGCTGTACGGCGAGGGTGGTCCTCGCGCCTTCCTTCGGCTCCAGGAGGAAATTGTCAAGGAGAGCAGTGACATGACCATCTTCGCCTGGCAGACGTCGGCGCAGGACCCAACCTGCGACTTCCAGGAAGCGCAACATCAGCAAAGTAGCCACCAAGAAAAAACGTACCACGGTGTATTTGCGGCGAAACCTTCCGACTTTCGGTATGCCTCACGGTTGACCGTTCCTGATGACCACCGAGCGCAGGAGTATACTATGACCAACAAGGGCCTCAAGCTCTCTGGCGGCCCGGAGCTGAGAGCATTCGGCCACGACATGTTCTTCCTGTGCCTGCACTGCCACCACCCAGACCATCCGCAGCGGAGTTGCGGTATATACCTACAGAGTCACGGTCCCGAGATGTTCGCCCGCGTTCACCCGGAGAGGCTGGTTCTGGAGCCAGATTGCGCGTACTCGAGCCCAGCCCAGATCTACATCAGTAAGCACCTCCGTGCCAGGGAGCTGAACGCGCTCCGAGTGAGCCAACGCCGCATCATCAAGTTCACTTTCGCGTACACCCCAAAGATATACCGATGCAAGACCCTAGCCGTTGAGCCCCGGAATCAGTGGAACCCCCATGAAGGGCACTTCATGCTTACCCCCGGGCAGGCTTCCTTCACCGGGTTCTACCGCGTGTCGTGGCACCGCAACGAGCTCCAAAAGGGGAACTCGCCGAATAGGATGACGGATGGCGAGTTCATCGTCCTCTGCGGGTACAAGAAGGCGTCGGGACCATGGGCCTGCGTCATCGCGCCGGACTTCGACGGCGCGTTGTACCGTGTCACAACCTCAATGGACCTGAAGCTGGCTGGCGAGCTGGGGAGCCGGATGAAGTACAACACGACGACTCCTCTCAAGAACCAGTCCCGGACAACCGTGATCAAGCTGGAGGAGGAGGTTGCGGCGGATGAGAGGCTCCTGGCCGTTGTGAAGATTGATGTGAATGTAGGCACCTTTAAGGATGCAAGGAGTGAGTGGTACCAAGAAGACCCCACACCCTTACCGCCGGTTTAAATACACAAGGTACAGCTGCATTTGTTTCGTTATAAGCATGGCGGCTCCTGTGCTCAAGAGGAT